TGCACGAGAGAAAAGATAGTTAGAAATACCAACCATTATATCCTCCTCCCTTAGGATTTGAATATATTGGTCGATTAAGTTGACATGCCTCCTGCTCTTCCTTTTCTCTTTGCTTCTTATCTCCTGTCCACCTTCACCCTTAGACTTGGACATTGCAGCTTATCTTCATTAACTAACCTCCTTCCCTGTGCATCTAGATGCCAGAATTGTTGGCATTCTATTTCTCCATGATCTAAAGTATAATTAGCAAGTGATCTGCCAGCTTGTTGCCCTCCCTATGAATATAAGTAACTGTGTAATTGCCCCCATTCATTAGTTGCATCATTTCCTCTACCTGCTCAGATATGATCCATGGTGGTTTCCAGATCCCATCCATTATCTTTTTTAATAACATTGAGTCAGTTTGAAGCCATACATGAGAGTATTATTGAAATCTGCAGAACCTTAGTGCTTCTACTATGGCCTTCGCTTCAGCTACTGTGTTTGTTGTCTCCTAAATCTCCTTCCCTACTGACTTGACTATGCCATTTTATTTTTTTATACAAAAACCTATTGAGCTCCTGCCTGGATTTCCCCTCGATGCACCATCTGTATTAACTTTTAGCCATCCTGCACTTGGAAATTCCCACATGACTTTTGTAACCTTAAGTTTAGGAGTGAAATTTTCCATCATAGCTAATAGATCTTGCCATTTGTGAGGTACCATGTCCATCCCAGGCTTTCTCACTTTNGTTTCTCACTTTCATCAATGCCTGCAGATTTGATGAAACTTGATAAATCACCCTGCTAGTTGTCACAGCATCACCATACTTCATACTATTTCTTCTTTTCTAGAGTTCCCAGACTACACATGAGGGGAGTGCTTGCATTACTGGGTTGAGCCTTAAGCACACATTTGCAGTCCAACATTTTGTGATTGCTCGGTGCAATGTTAATCCCTCCACAGTTATTCCCGCCCTCGATAGAAAATACTTCCAAGTTGTCTTTGTAGTTTCTGATCTAAAAAACAAGTGCTGAAGAGATTCATCATCTGGCTGTACACAACACCAACATTTTGATGGCATGCAGTAGCCTAACCTTTTCATGAAATCATCTAAAGGTAACTTTGCTTTCCATACTTTCCATATGAAAAAAGCTATTTTAAAAGGCAGACCCTTTACCCAAATCATCCTATAAGCTGTTCTTGGTTCGTCTCTTCTTCTCGTATAATCCCAT